AATAAAGAATTAATTAAAAGAGGCTAAGACCGAATTCAGCCTCAAAGCCATACATGCCTTCTATGATCTAACAAATATTCAGACGCCTGGACCTAAAAAACCCTGTCATCTGTAACAGAGATCTTTGGTGTCTCCCAGGAAAGTTATGTTGCCATGTAGTATTTGGGTTCAGAACAAAGATCATGAATAAAAGTAGCCAGTGTTTATACATTTAAAATCAAAGTTTAATGGTCTGTAAATGAAATGGGAGGGAATGAGGGAGAATTTGAGGCTAGCACATTGTTTTTCTTTGTGCTTTCTCCTTTGCCTCACTCAGTTTACAATGAAATTTAGCCACCAACTCCCACCACTGTTTTTCTTGGAGAACAGGGTAGGATGAAGAAACACAGCGATTAAATATAAAAGACACCCATGCATTGCAATAGGAGCTGAATTCCATGTGTTTGGTAACAGGAACTATAGGAAAAAATAAAAGGAGGTGACTCAGGTCCACCTAATCTTTAAAATCTGAAGCCATTCTCAATTCCTACCATCTCTGATCTCTAACCCACCTCTGCCCCACATATAAAAATAGACTTTGTTAGTCAAACGGGAATTTTTGTTAAGCTCTTTTAGTTCCAATTGGTAATGCTGCTGCCATGACACTCACATCATTTAAAGTTCATTATGCTCCCATGTGTTTAACACATGGCTAGCAGCTCTTCCAACAGTCAGGATCCATGTAATCACAGCAAAGCAGTTAACATCATAAATAAAGCAAACATGAACTGATACTACACGCTTCCTTCTCATGGTGAATTAGGATGATGAACGTGAGTTCAATGCCATTTTTCACCTAACAGCAAAGTTGATAGACTTGGACCATGCAGGTACTTGGAAAATAATGTTTACCGGTTTCTTTGTCTCGTATCTGGCAATCCTGGGCCAGTCAGCCATATTTGTGATTCATGGGGCCCTTCATGATGGCAATTTCACTTTCTTCTTCTACATTTCCTTTTAGGTTTCTTTTTAGTTCGCATGTACGTAGGTCATTGTCAGCAGAGCACTTTAAGGGAGCTTGTCATCTTTGCTCATGGTTGGAATCTCATTTGCTCTAGGCACCACAAAAAGGCAGATCTTTTAAGGGATACAGCCATGCTTTATTTAAAAAGACGCATTATTTGAGGTAATTCCTGACCATGATACTTATTTAACAGTATTTATGGTAACTGCATGACTTCAAACAAAGCTGAATTTTTAAGTGCATGCATATGTATACATGTGGCAATAGAGCCGATATATTGTTTGGTTTTGTTGCTGCTGTTGTTTCTTTAAGGCATATCAGATTGCCGTCCTATTTCTATCAATCATGATGGAAATATAATTCAATTTAATTGTCAAATCCACTAGCCTGAAACTTTGGATTCAGGTGTCTCAGAATTGGAGATAATGTCCTTTGATTCTCTGATTGCCTTGACAGCTTCTGACTTGGATTGAGAGGTGCCTTAAGTATTACTTATAGTGCATGTAGCTATTAAGGCAGTGGCCAGACTTATCTCCTCTATGGGTCACATGAAACTGCACTTTCCCTGTATATTTTAAATTTTTATGTGGTCATAGTAGCATCTCCTGAATCTGCCTATGTATCTTCCCATTCTTCTTCCATACATCTGAGTCTGTGACTTTGGCTGAAAAGTTATCTTTAAACTCTTTGTCCTAATGATCCAGACATTCCAGACTTGCATGTAAAAAAGACGTACTTGCATAAAAAGTCCCAGGGCATGAGTTACAGCATTACAAATGAGGTAAGAGTTGTTTTAGCGAGTTTACCAGCAATAAGGCCAGAAGATTCCAAGTTTGTTTTGGGCTGGTGTTATGGGCTTTTCCTAACAAATTTAAATATTAAAAAATTGGGTTTTGTACAGCATGAAAATGAAAACAAAGCCTTTTCAACACTTTCAAACAGCTACTGGTTAGAGGCCTGATTTGAAGGTATGGACTCAAGTTTGTCTTCTTCATCAAAAAAATAGTCGTCTTCATCCCCAGCTCCTGACATTTGGAAACAAAGGGGCTTGAGAGTTACTTTGTCCACAATGAAGCCAAAAACTTAATTGACTTGGTAGCTGTCTTTCTGCCTGTGTTCTTTCTCCATTTAAGAAATGAAGATACACTTCATCGTAGATTATAAAATAAGCTTCAGATCAGCTTTACTTACAGCCCTGTAAATGACTGTTGGGACTCTGATGTCAGATTCACAGAACTAGTTCCAAGTTTTTTTTTGTTTGCTCATAAGCTGCTGAATAGATTAGCGGCATGGTTTTGTTAGGTGAATGCAAATGTGCCAATAAAAAGAAGCACATTGCCATTTCCCCTCCTAAATAATTCACTAAGCATTTTTATATTACTTTCTTCTGTGGGCTGACAACTTTATATTCTTTACTACCAAGTTTATTATAAGCCTGTATTATCTTTTAAAAAGTGTATATATGTTAGTAGGTATATAAACATGCACCTCCACAGTAAGTTTTGTGTCACAAAGCAAATCCTATAAACTGCTCAGTTGCATAGTATTTTTTTATTTAAACTAGGGTCATAAATACTTCTTTAGCAGACAAAACCAATGTTGCATGGAAATACACTTTATTTTGCATAGGTTCATTCAAGCACATTGTGTCTCAATGTTAGAGGTAATTAACACACTTGCAGACTTTAAAATAATCTAAAAAGGTTTTAATTTAGTGAAAATTCTAAACACAATAGCAATATACATGCTCCTTAATTCACATGCATCATAAATTTAAGAGCGTGATTGCACCTGTAAGAGCTGAGCAGCCATTTACATTCTTGTAAATATTGTTTTGGTGGAGTGAGCTCTTAATAAGGGTTATTAGTAAGTTGGTATCTTTGTTTAGTGATTCTGGAAGACCAGTACTGGTCATCACTGTGATGATTCTCTATAAAAATTCTATATATGTGCACGTTTGGACTGTTGTTGGAGCAGTAGGGAGGGACAACTTCAATGGGTTTTTTTTTGCTTGTTTTTGAATTAATATGGGACTAGCAATCCCAGCACAGAAAGGCAGCTCTATCATGTAGCTGAAATGATAATAATTAATCTAATTATCATGGTGTAATAGCTGTATTTTATTAAAACTTCACAGTAGTGTTGTTGAGTTTTCCTGGTGAAACACTCAAGGCTGCCTTATCGACTCAGCAGATGGCTGCTCACCACTACGCATTTTGATTTCTTCAGCAGGCAGTTCCTGTAAGATGCATCATTGTGTTGTACAGTGTGAGTTTTAAAGACAAAACCATCTCTAAATTGTGCAATTTTTCCTTTGCCTGCTCTGTGCAGAGCTATCATGGACAGAAGGGCAGCTCTTCAGGCCCTGCCAGGATCGCAGCAGCCACCAGGATCCCTGTTGAGGTCAGTTTGCTGTGCTGGATTATCACATCCCCATCCAGGGGGTATAGTGACCTGAAGTGCTTTTAGAAATCAGACATGGGGTTTCTAATACTACTAAGCAAGCAATATTTCTTTGTCCCTCCCTTTTTAAGCCTACTGCTCACTGTACACACGTTTTGTTGTGTGCTGATCCTTGGTGAGAGTTCAAAAGACAAAATGCCTTCATGATTGCTTCATTTTTGTGATTAAAATTGATTTTACTGGAGCTAATAAGGACAGAATATAGCTCAGATTACTTTAAAAGTATTGGTAAGAGTTGAGTGTCTGAAGAAACACATTTCTTAGGAATGGAAGTCAAATCTCTGCCCAACTGGAAGCCTTGTGGCAGCATCCAGGGACTGTCTGGGGGACTAGGTGGAAAGAATGACCATTTTATGGATTCTGAGCCACTGGGCATCAGTGGCTTCTAATTTCAGACTCATGCCATGATATATAGGGGTTTTCCTGGCTTTGGAGACAACCTTTGCAACTCTGTTTAACTCTCAATACCTGTGTGAAGACTAAGCAAGAGTGCAAATAAAAAGAGTAAGCTTAAGAAGCTGAAAGTGCAAGTTCTCTCGTGTGAACAGCTGGATTACTCCCATCCCATTCTAGGCACTGGAAGCAGAAGGAGCTCTATGACTGACATAAACTCCTCAATTTTCTGTCATGTGTGAGTATAAACCCCACTGCATTGCATACTATTTAGTTTTCTTTTCCAGAACTTCTTTAAAGAGGAAATATGATGAAAGACATGATAGTTCAGCCTAGAATGTTACGGAGTTTTGCAATCTACCCATAAATGACGTGAGAGGACCGACTCTCTGCATACCTAATCTATGACAAATTACTAAATGCTGGGATAGAAAAAGCAGATGCCATACGGAGTTGTATTTCTGCCACCCTGTTAACTTTAATCTTATGTAGCTAGGACGTCGAGTTTCTGTTAGTTTCTCATCTGTTTTTTTCTAAGGAGTCATCATCATTTTACTGTGTCTGTCTGTAGGACGGGGAAGGAAACTACATTTTTTTCCCGTAGATCTGAAGTTCAGAGCTGTAAGTGAATACTCTTTTCCATAAGTTCAGTGCCCTATGCACATGGCTTTAAATATTTCATATTCATATTTCAGGTCATTTCATATTCTCATCTTTCAGAAAGAGAGAACTCAGTTTTCTGGAATATAAAAGATTCTTCAGCCTCCAAGGAGCAAAAATGCAATTTAAGCTTCCCAGAGCCACTTCACAAGCAGGGATAGCTACCAGTGATTAGAGTATCGCATTTTTTTCAGAAGAGCATCAACTGTAATGACCTTCATATCCTGGATTTTGGTTCAGAAGATGTCTGTGTTAATAAGGTTGTGTCAACAAGTGTCTCCATCTTCACTTATGATATCCCAGGGACACAGAATTTAAGAACGCTATAGTGCACAAATGCTGCTGTTACTATGACAAAGAACTGTGGGGGGAGATCAATTTCCGCACAACAGTACCACTGATAAGGAAGAAAGATGTGCAAGTGTTCAGGAAAGTTGTGGACATGGAACAATTAAAACTAACAGAAAAATATTCCAGTGGGTAGAGTCAAAAAGCTGTTCTTTAATTTTTAAATTTGCACAGCAATAACAGAGACAAATGAGCCTCTGAAATATTTTGGAAAATGTCACTTTGCAAACCTTGTAGATTGCTTAAATGTTTATTAAAATGGACCAAAAGCCAAAATTCTCTGGGTAAAATAAATACTTTGTCTTTGCTAAGTAACAATATTTGTGAACAAAACATAAAACTATAATTTTCATGTGTCAAACATCGTAGCATTTAAGATTAAATGTTGGAGTCAGACTGGGCATTTTTTTACATCTTCCTATTTACAAGCTGCTCATTAAGACCATTTACCTCACGTTAGCTATTAAAATGACTAACATTTTTAAAGTTTGCTCCATGACTAAAATAAAAACAACAGAAATGTCCTTTTACCATAAATTAACAAAAAGCAGAACCATATTTTTGTTATCTAGGAGAACATACTGTTATAAATACAGCTGTTTTTCATCTACAATTACATAAATAATAAACACGCTGCCATTCACAAGGATTTTAATAGATGATTATATATAAGCAATATTATGTTCTAGCAGAGGATGGCATGAGTTTTCATCATTCATTTTTATTGTACTTATTCAGGACCCTTGTCTTCATCTGAAAACTGTGGAACAGACTTCTTTGCTACAACATTATCCAGTCGCTGTCCTTGCAGATATGGGTTCACACTCTGAAAAAGTTTCAAATTATTTATACTTATTAGAAACAGGGAAACATACAAAAGGTAACTAGGATTCATGGATCTATTTATACATTTCTTATCTGTCAAATACTTGCACACCGAAGAAAAACAAAAAAAAATTACTCCCAGGGAGTAAATCTGAAAGTCAATCAATGATTTGTTTTCTAGTATTTTTTGTGTGCAAGAATTTAATCCTATCCACTAAAAAGCATACAAGTGAAGGAGAACAACTGAGAATAAAGGACAGTTTGAATTAAACACTGTCTTTTTGCTCCACTTCTACTTTCCTCAGCTCAGCAGAGAAGCAGCAGCAACAGATCTCATTCCCTAATTCCTGAGGCAGGACGGAACTTGCTTGAAGAGTACAAGTAAGCTTTAGCTTTTTAGGCTCTGATGAATCTTATGCCGGGAGACGAGTTAGATACCATGATACCATTTCTGACCAAAGTCTCTTCTTTAGCCTATCTCTTCTCCAGGAAACCCCTCCTTGCTTCCTCTCTTGATACCAAGATAAAAAAGTGCTGGCACAGAAGCAGAGCCAAGCAAGGGTTTGGCATAAGGAAAATAGCTCTCATACCACTGCCAGAACAAGGGAAGGCTGGAAAGGATATCCCTGGAGAGGGTTTAACTTCACTTTGCACCATGCAAGCAGCACAACGTGAAACTGAAGATGAACAGATCCTGTCTCAAAACTGTTTGGAGATCATAATACTGTAGAATGTCTATGCTTGAATTTTATCTGTAGCAATGGAATAAAATGCATTTACTGTCATTGCAAGTATCAAGCAGTTTAGTGGAGCTTCAGAATTAACTTAAATATTATTTACACCCACTTTCTGGCTTGTTACAGTGTCAGTGTAAATAAAATTCAAGTATATACTTTCACAGATATAAACAAAAATTCCAGTGTGCTGGGTTTTGATGCCAATAAAATTTGTTTGCTTAAGGACAAACTTTGGAGGAATGCAAATTTGCCTGATTCTTGTCAGGCTGGCTGTATCACAAATATTACTTAGGATATTTCTGTGCTTCTTTCCCCAAAATGTAGGAATTCAAAACTATGGAAAACAAAAGAAAAAATCTCCAGCTTTTAAAATAGGCATGAAATATTTATTTTCAAATATCCTAAGTATTTGCCAAAACTTTGGAAAAGATTTGGGGTTTATCTTGTCTTCAAGCTTAAGACCTTGGGTTTCTCCAGATTTGTAAATGCTATCATTAATACCTAATCATAGCACAGAGCAGCCTTTCTGCTTGCTTCTGTTGTTTTTTGAGTGCTTTGCTTGCTGCAAGTAAAAACATAAAAATATTAAGAACCAAAAATGAATGTGGAAAAATCTTTGAAAACAAAACACTAATTTAATGCTTTAAATTGTTAAAAATAAGACACATGTAAATGATTTGTTTGTGTTTGTTTAAAGAAGTTCTGTTTCATGTTAATTTAGTGAAATTCGTCTGTTGCATAAACTTCTAGGAATTATTTGAAGATTCTTAGGAAGATGAATTGGTCTTTTTTATGGAATGATACTTGCTACTTTTTGAACTAAAGTGGAAGAGAATGAGAATACAGAAAAATTTGAATTCTCAACTGACAAAAGAAAAAACATAATAAAATGCAAAATTTTTGGCTGATTTCGCTAAAAAATGTTTAATCCTACACAGCTGTGCTGAATTCAAAGTAACATGATTCCCAAGCACCTGCGTACTCAGCTCGGAGACCACGGCAATGTGACTCAGTGATTACAGAAGCACTCCTGTCATGTCTGGGATAATAGATTCTGGACAGGGCTATGCTCATGCATAGATATTTTAAAAAGGGGAGAACTGCTAGTTAAACTAGTGGTCCCCATAGGCTTGCTTGTTGGGCACTGCAAATGCTGCCAAAAAAACAGACAGTAGCAAACAGTAAATACGTACCTTTGCTATTTATACTGGTCATTTGTGTGTATGTATGTTAGTATGTGTGTTTATATGCACACAGAATATACGTAGTTTTGTAGACACCAATAGTGCCTCTGTGACTACTCTGTATCTATAGCATTGTATAGATACACCACAGTTATGTCGTACACATTTGGCCAGGACTTTCTTTAAGCTGAAATATGGATATTCTGACCCTAAAGACCAGTCTGTTGCTGGAAGCTAACCTCTCTAACCTCTCTGTCTGTGCAGAAGGGCATGGAGGAGTGGCAGGGACTGCAGAAGGCAGGAGGGGAATCCAGTGATCTTGGTTTCTGGAAAAATACACTCTGATGGTGACAGCTCTCAGTTACCCTTCTGCTGACAAAGCAGAAACTCTGAATTGTTCATTAAAGCATTAGTAATTGTTACAGTACTACTCTCAAAACAATAAAATACTTTAAATTATAATGAATTTACTATTGACATGCCTGTGCTAAGAAAATAAATCTGCTGCTGCTCTAATCCTACTCTAACATGCTGTTCTAGCTATTAATAAATAATCCAAATAACTATTTCCAGAGTAAATTCTACTCACTTCAGAGTGAAAATCAGGTGCCTACTTTTTCCTTTTCTACTAACAAAACTGAAAATCAAACGTAAGTGGGAATCAGATAATAAGCTGAAGATAGATCATTAATTTACAGCTGAACGGTGTTCACTGCCAGCGGTATGTGAATCGGTAAGAAATGAACTCATCTTCTCCCATTCTAGCAAAGACTTTAGGTTTGAGAGTTAAATAAATAAATGTTTCAGTTATTTTAAACCAAATTTACTCCATTTACAATATAAACTGTGCTGTCATATTTTGAAAGGCTACTTTCTGGCAGACAGCTAGGCTTTCTCTTCTTGTAAAAAAAATACATACATATACCAGCGACAAAGCTGAAGATTTGACTCTGCTTGAGAGTGATTTTTGATAAAAGGAAGCTTGACACTACTAAAAAGAGAGAGGCGATAGTGAGGTGGACTGCACAGAGCTTTTATGTGATACATGGATTGCCTTCCTTTTTCAGGGGCTGAGAGATGAGAATGCCTTCATCTTTGTCTTTCATGCAAGTGGGGCACAAAGGCAGGAGTTTAATCTGAGGTAAATCTAAGTACGTAGGTGAATCAAATTACATCAGCTAATTAACCAGTCCCACTGTCATTTACACCCAAAACCATATTCACATGCATGGGTAGTGATAATTAATTTTACCAATATTTTAGTAGGAAACTTAGATTATGTTTTAAAGACATTTAAATAATTTTAAATGGTTTTACGCAAATAGCATAGATTTAAAACACAGCTAATATAATTTTTTTTAAATTAATGCTCTGCATTGAAGTGCATCTTCTGAAAGCAATGAGCTATTTAGAGAAATACATCTTGTACTCCGCAGACAGTCCTGAAGCTTGCTGTAGTAGTTTATCACAGAGATTCCCTGACTTTACACATTATCTAAGGTAAAATGCAGAAGCATTAGACTGACTTTTCAACAGTATGATATTAATTCTTATTAGCTCTCTAAATGATACAGGGGCTGTAAAGCATTTTGATAGTTACCCTCTTTCTTCTTTTTGGACCACCATTAATCTTCTCAAAGAGTAAGTTCTTGCTCTGGAAGGAGAAGAAATGCAGCCATTAAATTTATTACACTTTTATTTAAAAACATATAACTTTTGCTGTTAAATATTACCAAGTTTAGAGGGGTGTGTAATTTTATAGGACCGATAAACCACAAATAAATATTTAGATATTCCTGGTAACATTCTGCAGTTCTTCAGAAGCTGTCACAGTCTTATTGACAATTTAAAAGCCAGTAATTTTCCACTATGTTGCACTATATTATCATCTGTGTTCAGACAGTAAGTGCTTCAAGTACATAACAATATTAACTGGATGCTCCCCATCATGTGATATACGGTATGAAAAAAAAAAAAAGAAAAAAAAAGGGACAGAAAGAAAAAAAGAAAAATAAGAGTGGGAGGGATAGGAAGGAGGAATCCTACCTCTGATGCATCTTTCTATACACTTGAGGTGACACAAGAACAGAAGCAAAAATATTTGCTTTACAAGGGATTTTATAATTCCTTTTAAAATGGCAATTGGCGTCATTCCTACTGTTTTGTTGTCTTAGCTTATTCCATTCCAGATATCAACACTTCCCAGTGCAAAGCTCTGCTGAAAGGAGTTCAGAGCCAGCTCTTCTTTTGTTTAAGTAGTGCCCTCAATAAAGTCTCTAAAAACCATTTGGTCTATAACTTTTTTAATGGCAAACCTTTTGAAAACTGCCAAAAACATCTTGGCAGAAGAGAAAGTTATGATGATTAGAAAAGAAGAAGAAAAAAAATACAACACAAAAAACCCCTCTGACCATAGTTTACATAAGTGCATCCACATATTGTTGTATTTCATACAAGCAGTGAATTCTAATAAAGTCTGGAATAACACACATGCTCAACACATTTTGTTTCAATTGTGTATTATGAAGAAAAACAAAACTCAACCCTAACCTGAAAATGGAAGAAGAGAAGAATTACATGTATAAAAGCAGAACACTGTATAAACAAGGCCATTAATTCTGCTATAAACAACTGACCTAACATTGATTATATAAATAGAAAGTGTAATTCTAGCGCGAGACAAATTCACCAAACACTTCTATCCTCTCTGCAGCCCTGATATGAGAAAAAACAAACATTTTCAAGTGTTACAATGAAATCTGCCAAAATTGTCTATTTTGTACTTCTCATGTTCATTAAACCCCAAATTCACAAAGCCTATCTCTTGCCCGACCTCAGTTATTTTGTCTGAGTTGTTCCAAAAAGGAACAGAGATGAAGTTGGCCAAGGGAGACATTCCTGACTAGTCATTTATGCAAACTGACTTCGGGAAAACTCCAATTTAACATTTTAAACCTTCAGATGTGTAAATTATTCTATTTATGAAACAAAGCACTGCTGAAGCCTCTCTCTGTAAACTATTTGACCTTATACTTTTCACAGAGGAACAGCATTTCTGAAACAGAAAGAATTTCTTGACTACTGCAGCTAAGATTTCTGTCACTCAGGAAAATTCCTTACAATTGAACTGTTCCTGCTCAGAAAGATTGTATTTTGTTTAGTCTCTTTGGGAATGCTTGAAGACTGTAACTACTACTTAAGCGCTATGCGGAGTGCAAAGCAAATGAGGTTATGGAGCATGAGCTAAGAGTATTCTTGTGCGGTAACAGCACTCCTGAAAATATGTTCCACTGCGTAAGGGCCCACGCTCATCAGGCACCAAAATCTGCCCCTGAAGTGCTCACCATTCTCATCCATCACTTAGGAGTTGGTAGGACTGAAGGCAGAATTTCTCCAGTTAAAGATACACCTCATATGGAGATGTGCTGCATATGAATTGCTGCTTTCCCCTCACTCTGGAGCTTCCTTTGCACCCTCCTGGATTAGGCTACTACAGGTTGGGATTTGGGTGGGAAAACCCCAGAAATTAAAATGCTTACAACTAACCAACTAATGTCGGGAGAGTTACCCTTAGATCTTTCAGACTTCGCTGAAGCTTTAAATCACTGATAATTGGCAGCTCTTTAATCTGGACCTGCACAATTATTAAGCAAAACTGAAAAAGAAAACTGCATTAGCAAGCTTGCATCCTTTCAGAAGGGCTTTTTTTCTGGCAATTTAGTCTTATTCGGTATATCAAGCATGACAATTTTTATTACACCAAGCATATTACACTGAATGAAACAAGCTGGACTGTCTGAAATTGAAGACCTTTCCTAATAATCACCCTTGACATCCAGATATTTGGTAAAGAAGAATTAGTGTTACTCACTGTAACTGAAGTTGGACTAAAATTAAATCTGAGTAACTAGTTTCATGTTTCCATTAAAATTAGGAAGACAGAGATGATAACTTCTTTAACAAGAATTTCAACTTTGTCAAATATTTTTATCCCTGTTTCCCATTTGCCTTTCTTTGCAGTGTCTTGTATGCCTCCATGTAGCTGATAAGCAAAACTGTCATTATTTGTACCCTTAAAATTAAGTGTTAGCCATTGCTTCAGTAAAAAGAGGTGTTACTGAAAAACACAGTTGCTTTTAATTTTCCATTTGTACTGATACTGGTGTCAGAAACCACAGTTGAATTGCCCTCCTCTTTTTAACCCCTACATGTAGTAGTAGTTAACACTTTGGGTTTCAATAAATAATTTATATATAAGTGGGGTTTAGATTTGTACTGTAATTTGTATATTGTATGCTATCTTTTTGCAAGTCTTTCTGGATGCCAACAGCACTTTTTCAGACTATCTAAAGAGTCAAATTGTAAGACACGGAAAAGGCAGACTCAAATGGAAAGTACTTGTCTCCTGCAAGGAAAAGTCTGAACTGAAGGTAAGAAAACCCCAAACCAACCAACAAACAACATAAATCTTAAAAACTATAGTTACACAATAGGGTATAAAATTCCAAAAGTTCCTTATCTTACTAGTCCCACTATCCCCTCTAGGCTTTCCATGTATGAGGAGAAAAAAGAAAATAAAAAGAGTCTTTGGGCTAGAGAAGAGTATAAACTAATTATCTCACCATATAAATAACTTGTTTCCAGGACTTCCCACAAGGCAGCATATTGATATTTGGAAAGTTGTCCCAAAGACATGAAAATTCTTCCTCTTTCTTCCCTCTCCTAACCCAGTATACATTTGTTATGATTCATATATTGTATCATCCTATGTATTAGTATTATCTACATGTAATATTTCACATCTACATGGAATCATACACTTTCCTGTATGAGACAGCTTCTAGACTTGTTTTACCCTTATGTGTCTACTATTCACAGGGTACTGCAGAGGTCCCACAGCTTTGCAAGCATGAGAGTCTGTCACCAAAACAAATCAACCAACCTGTTTCTTTGCCATTATTCATGAACGAGCAGGTCTTTTAGTTGTTGTTATTTGTTTTTTTTCCCTGACCTGCTAATGTAATCTGGGTTTTACTGCGGTTACGCTAAGGAATGCATGCTGGCTCCTTGAAAGGACAAGTCAGAGGGAGCTGTAACGCTGCCTCAACCACTCTGTGGCAGGAAAAGGCAGGGGAGAAGCTCCCCCAAGAGCTGTGAGGAGATGCCAGCTCACACGGGTCCAGGAGACACTCTGGCTCCAAGGGCCTCAGACAGTGGTGACAGACTAGTGCATTCACAGCACGCAGGAGTTCGTGGAAATGCAGTCTGTAAATACACAGCCGTTACAGTCCCTGGGGCGTTTGATCCTAGGCTCTGTCACAGGAGAAGCAGGAATGGGCTGCTCGTGGACAGAGGGGATTCTGGTGGCTGGGGGCAGTGGGAGGATGAGGATGCACACAGTCACATGCTGAGCAGCCCGCAAGTTGGCTCTGTTGGTCATTTACAACCTAACCCAGATGACAGTAAGTGATCTAAAAGATCTGATCTACTTTATCTCTCATTTATAAAGCCTCAAACAGCTAATTTTTAGAGTGCTTTTCTGCTCTTATTTTTCTAGAGAGATAAAAATAACAAAACCAGCCATAAAACCAGATATGGTTGTATTTATCTTTTTAATGTGTAATAATATACAATGAGGAGGCAATTGGGGCAATTCTCCTGGATCTCAGCAGAACATTTGCTCATGCACATTACCAGTTGTTTCATCTCTAATTAAAGAGATCTGGAGCTGGCTATGCTGCAGCTAGATATGATTACTGTTTAGTACCTAACAGTCTGTTTTAATCTATGCATGAGTTTTTTCCCCTGAATTAGTAGTGATGGATGGAGAAATGAAAAAGGCCAGTATTCACTAATGATCATCTACAATTTCTTAAGCGTATACATTGCTGATGACAATGCCGTATGTATGCTTGATTCTGAAATATTGCTATAGGCCAAAGATTTACAGAGGTGCTTTTATAGTCTTCAAAATGGTATTATGAAAGTAAATTACTTACGAATAATAAGAAAAATAACAGCATTGTCTGGCATAAATAAGAAAATGCACCATCTGGTGTTTTTAAAATAAAAACCTTTGATGGTAATTACTTAGAATGCAACAAGAGTTTCCAAAATTTGGATATTTGGCATGATTCTCTCTAGAAATTTAGCACTCACATAAGTAATTAAGACTATAAATCTTTGCTGCTTTGATTATGAACGATGAATCATTGTCTCACAATTAAAGCAGGAGTAGAGGCTGCCAAGCATGTCCATTTATCGATATATGCTTAGAGAGCACTGGTTTATGGCAATCTTCAGTTGTTAAAGTGTTATAACAATATAAAATGAGATTTTGTGATTTGTTGTAGAAGCATAAATTATGATCATTGCTACTGTTTTCTTGGTGCCTGAAGATGGATTTGGGATTGGACGTTTGACTGACGTAATCTAAGATTAAGCATCAGACCTCACTTTGGAGCCTTTACCCTTCAGAAATAGTCTAGCTGCAGTTATTAAGGTCCTTGTATGCTCAGAGCAAGATTTTTGACCTTAGTGCAGCTTGCTGTCTTTATTATATGCAATGTGCAAGATGACATGTTTTTAATGTCAGTGCACAACCTGAATAGAGGAAGAAGCAGCATCAGTCCTCCAAAATCCTTAAGCCAGAGAGCTTCCTCAGACCAATTTGTTTGAACCAAGATTTTTTAAGGTGTTCATGCGCTGTTACACTCCATTTCTTTATTTATTTTTTAATATCTAAGTAGCTGAACAGTGAACAGTCACTGAACCTGGATAATCTTTCAAATTAGGGACCTGCTACGTTTTGAAGCCTTGCACTAAAATCTGGACTAATTTCAATTACATGTTTACTGCAGTTTGAAATGTGGTTTGCTGCATTTATCAAGCTCATACACAGTTGTTGTGCTTTGGGACAGGTAACGAGAGACGGATTTCTACTTTCTATTTTTTATGGGCTTTTCACCAATCAATCAGTCATTATTCCTATATTTTTAAGGCCAAGTCCATCTTTTTAAGAAGTTTCCCTTCATTTTTCCAGCAGTAAGCACAATATTCTCCTTGTGGTTTCATAGTATCCCATGCAGCAGACAATACGCAGTTTCACATGCCACAAAAATAATCACGCAGCATGTACTTACCCACTTGCCCATGTTGGGATAGTCATGCTCTGGATCAAAAAGGTGTTGGTGTAATTGGTATTCTCTACTGAACTCTGCTGTGTCTGGGGTGTTTTCTAGACATCCATCATCAACTGCAAAAGTATGTTAGAAAGCACTTATGTACCACATTAATCAACAAACTTCTTTAATGCAACTATGCAATCAAAATAAAAAACAAACCAAAAAACCTGGATGACTAGAAAGCATCCGATTATTTTTTTTTTAAAAAGGAGTTTGTCAGGATATATTTAATTAAAAAAAAAACAACAAAAAGAAAACCAAAACCACAACTTCATGAGACTTCGAAACTGAACAAATTTATTTTCCCAGCTCTCCCACTCTTTTCTAAATTTAAAACAAAAATTCCTTTTAAATTAGTGATTGAACTTGATTTTACATAGAACTGCATGTTATTCTGATTCAGAAAGGATTGGATCCTCTTTTCATTTTTAAATGCCTAAAGGAAGCTTTAGAAATTGTTTAGGCAATACTTTTGAAGCTCATGGTAAAACAATGCTGTGAGCAAAACAGAATTTCCTTCACTGAGCAGCTCTTCATGAATTCCATTTCTGGTTTGCTACTTTGTTCAAAATGGCTGAAAATCATTTATGCATCATAAAAGCTCATAAAAATGCAATGTGGCAGAAGTTTTATGCTGAAGACTCTTCTGCAGATTTGTAAGTATCTGATGGGTCCAGAAACCTCCTTTAATCACAGTGGATGGTTTTGCAGACAGTGTCACTTCAAGGCCAATGCCCTTTCAAAAATTTTTAACCAAAAAAAAGTCATCTTTGGATTAAACAAAGATTCAGTGACTTGAGGCCAGAGTAGCTTTTCGGATACAGTCTTCTTGTGGACCTCCCTCTGCTTTGTCAACATGGGGAGCTTGCAGTCCTAGTTCTTCTCAGACATACCCAAGGAGATCCTACCATGGAGCATGACGCTGGGCATCCAAACAGCTACATCTGCCAGAACGCAGGCACTCTGGAGGGGACACCTGTGAACTTTCTTTTCTGTACTTGTGTGATCATCATGTAAAAAGATCTGCAGATGGATTATCTTTTTTCCCTTAGATGTGGGAAACAGTAGACTTGACTTAAAAATGAGTTGATTTAATGACCTGAGGAGGTTATTCTAAGTGCAAGAGATCCTGCTTTCTCTCCTTTCTCCTTAAAACAGGAGGAAAAAAATTTCCAATAGGAAACAGGGGAAACCTAACCACAGTGGTTAAACAACTCAGAAACCATTAAACTTGGTCACAGTTTCAGTCTCAGCAAGGACAAGGTCATTGCAAGAGAGAAGCAGGTGACAACAGAAATGTGGTAGACTTTCTCAGAGCATCTGTGTCTTTTTGGTAGAAAACACAAAGGGCAGCTGGACATGTGAATCTTCTGTGACTGCTAATTCAAAAGTCTTCAAGCTCAAGTGCTCCAGGCTTACGTATTCCTGCTGTGGAATGTGCGTATGTAGACAGTGACTGGAAAAATTGTTTTCCATTAAGCAAATCCACAGACCTGATTGAGGAAGGCCTCTGGTAATTTGTATGCATAATGCAGTCACCACTTGAATTTCCATTTAAGGCTCTGAAAAACATTTTACTCTAATCCTAGTAGATACTATCTTCACTCCCAGAGTACCTACGACAGAGCCATTTATCCTAGCAGGCAGCACTTCCCTGTGAATTCCCCTTGTGTTCAGATCTGACTGTATTAGCGTAGCTAATAGCTAGTAACTTTTATTTCACCTAAGAAAGAAAAAGTGAAGGGATTTTCAAATACGTTTCTCTGGATGTCAGGTTTCAAATTTATTTATCTGATCACTAACAAGTCTAATGGGCAAGCACAGAACTTACTTAGAAAGTCTCTGTATGTTATGTGTGTGAGAAAACTTAAACCCATCATTTGCCACCTGTCAGGCAACAGCTATATTGAACAAAACGGAAGATTAGATATTTCAGAAGAGATGCAGGCATCATCACCAAATGGGCTGTAATAGAAAACAGCAAAGGAGGACTATTCAAAATCTTGTCATATTTTTGAATGAAATATAAAAACACTGTTTGCAAAACTTTTCATGTCTTTTTTTTTATCAATTCTAAGCTACTTAGAACTTTTTTAAATAAGAATACAGACAACTGGTTTGCATTATCCAAATAACATAAAAGAAGACTAAACAGAAAAGATTTTTAAAGGATCTCTTAGCTCACGAATGAAAAAAAAATGAGAAAAATAGAGTGCTCATTCCCAGTTCAAGCTCCCAAGGCAGCCAATGGGTATTTTACTACTACTTTCAGAACTGGAAGTCATTCCTTGGCTCAAATAACAGGGAAAAGATCAATTCCCTTAGGGTATGCCTTTATCACGCACATGCAGTGCTGCTTTCGACATCCTTCAACACAAGCCACCCAAGCATGGCTTGGAGTATGCACAGGTGCAAGCTGAGGGATGTACTGGTTATCTCCGGTACGATACTGCTCCGCGCTCCAAGGCTGCACTGCTCCTCTGCCAGAGTGACCCTACGTGCAGTGCGCTGGAGTATGTCCACGTCGTTCTGTTTCTTGGCACAGATGCACCCTCAGTGAGCTATAAAGCCACATAGATTGGAGCCAAAGTATCTTAAATATTGACTTATGCTCTGGATTGGAGATCAGGGCAGACAGTTTCATTCCTCTTGGCACAAGGAAAGTCTCTAAAATAAGGGTAAATCTCATCTGTACAGAATGATAACTTTTTTCAGGGGCCAGCATAAAAATGAACTCCCTCAGGAACAAAACACTATAGTAAATCTCACTATCTTCTACTCCAAGATGATTTCTTCCACCTGCCCTTCTCTAGCACTCATACAGCAATACAGAAGGTGCACAAAAAAAAAAAAAGCTTATCTAAAACACCTGGATTGATCAACAGTTCTGCTCCTTGAGAACGGAAGAAAACACCCACTGCTGATCAACTGTTGTACTACTTAGTACAGTGCCAAAAGACTGAAAGAGGTACAGTGAGAAGGCCACAGCAGAATTACCTGTTTTTCCAGTAGGGCAGGGATTTGGAGGGTCAGGATATCCTTGGTCTTCACTGAAATCCTTCGGTACATTATCTCCTGTCAGCTCAGCTACAATGTTTGGGATATTGCCATAAGGACCCAAGTGCTGGAGACCCTCATGTGCACCACCTAGCAAAGATGACATACACACACAGTCTTCTTACAAGATTAAAAGTGTAAGTGCTTTCATAGCTCCAAGTAATCCAAACTTTAAAATACACGTACAATTGTTATAGAGACAGATCCAAGTTCAGATTTCAAACATCTCTTTTAGAAACATAAATCTGTGAACTAAATTGGATAACTTCGGTAATGAAAAATGAAACTAGGAAACAAAATCAGCCAGTTATCATTAATCTTAGGGTTATGTTTCTTCCATAACTATTTATGTTACAGGTAAGAAAATGCAAAGAAAAAGAAACATGAGATGGTAACAGAACTTAACAGATTTACAGCACAGTCATCTCCAGTCACCAATACCTTTACTGTTCATTGTAGCAACTAATAACTGAAGAAGATATGGCAAGACAGCACCATGGCAAAAAGACAGTTAACGACACTAGAAAAATAATGGCCATTTGCACAGCCTAGAAATACATCAATGAAGTCATGTGGGGGACCCAAGGTATATCGAATTTGCTTGTATAAACTACAAAAATTATTTCTAAATCAAATTATTTCTTAAACACCAATTTCAGTTTCCTGCAGTAATGGTGAAAAGTGAGTAAGAGTCCATATTGCTGATTAGAATTCTTGTGCAGGTATACTTACACAGTGGTCATTATGGTATGAAACATCACATGCAGTGAATTTCATACTTTTACTTAACAGATCAGGCCTAGATGCAGGCTTTTGTATTTGCCTGCATATACTTGCATGAAGCACCATCACTGCAGGATTCCGACAACAGCAGGCATGTAATAACATTACATATCACTATATGTGTTATTATAAAACTATGTGCAGGTTTTATAACTCGGTGGTGGAGGACACAATGGGTGATGGGCTTCCTGTTCTTGGGCAAACACACATGGAGGTGGTGTGCAACAGCCTTCTTCCACACATCTCAGCTTGGGCGCCTTGCCTTTGATAAGCAGGGTCTTCCACTAAAGGTTTGGGAACCAAACTCAGGCCATTCTCTTTATATGTCTCTCTACAAATATTTATCTGCTGCAGATCTTTTCTGCACGAATTACTGGCCAAATGCATCGACAGGCTAAAACCCAGCTGCTTGCGGAGTTTTGCAAATACTATTGTACAGTATTCTTTTGAATTCCAGTCAAATAAAAACTTCATTTCAAGCATGCTCTTTTCCTCTGCCATAAGACAGCCACCACACACGTTGCAGAAATAGCTAATATAGTTATTGAGTTCTGAAATGGCTGTGTGACAGCAACATTTTTGAAAAACCTTATATAATGAGGGATAACAACATACAGTCAACATATAAATTCCACAAAAAATGAATGAGAGGAAAAGGAATTTGAATGATTGAAAAATGGGAGTTTAAGAGTGAACACAGACACAACTGTTTGGGTAAATAGGATGATCACCATATTATCACCAAATAGTCTTATTTACATTTCTATAATTTTCATAGGTCCAGAAGATTGGAATAAAGATTCTGAACATGAAAGCTGCTCCAGAAGAAGCATTCAAGTACTCCTGTTCCAACTTACAATAAATACTACCAGTCTAAAGCATCTTTTATACAGCTAGGCACTGTAAGATAACATAATCCCTTTCAAAATTGCTAACATAAGGCAGTTTTGAGAAATTCTGTATTCATTTCTATGTTTAGAAGTAGCAGGTGAATGAAATCATCTAAATTTTGTAAATAATCAGTTGGAAGCTGACATCAAAGTACCAGAAGCAAGATAGTCTATAAACATATGTTTCAATTTTATTTGCACAACGGACTAAAATCTAATCAGCATGCTAATTGTCCCTCCCAAGTACACATTTCTTATTCTGTAATGCAATGTTGAAGGAAATTTTCATAGATATGTAACAAGCATAAAAGTAGCCCTATAAAAAAATTTGCATCTGTCACATGCAGTTTTTCCCTTGTAGCTGATCATGAGACCTGGTACTAAAACCACAATAGTGTTATACACACTATGAACTTTACTATGTATTTACAGTCCATAGTCAACACAAAGATGGTGCTTGTAAGAACTGCGTAGATTCACAATAACACTATGGGGATGAGGCTAAAAAATGTATAACATACATTTAATCTAATGTCATTTAATCTAACATCTAATGTGTACCATAAAATATTTCCTTTGTACTGAGCCCCTTCACATGAAGATTGATTGCATATACGTACTTAAAAGCATCAGGTTATGATTGTGCTGTAAACTACAGAACCACATAATCAATACGTGTTTGAACATCCTGTATACAATGTGGTTCACTATAGGACAATCCATCAGATAGAAGCATATCTATGCTTGTATGTGGTGCAGACCTCTTGGCACCAAAGCTCCATCCATAAAGAAAACAGAGGTACTTAGCAGGCTCCAGTGTGCTATATATACATCTAAGTTTAAACTGACTGCCAAGAATTCCCTTGACTGAGTACAAAACAATCTTTTTATTTTAATATAAAGGATTGTTTCCTTTAGGTATAAATGTCCAGGATCATTTAAGGGTTTTTCCTTTCTTTCCAAGAGTATAGACAATAGCACCTGCTCTGGTGCCATAATTTAGCACACTTTAGTAAAATCACTCAAGTAATAGCATTATACTCAAGTGATGGCATTTGCAAAGCCCATTCCTTATAAAATCTGATAAATAGTGCATTCAGTAAAGACTGCAATAATAGAAAAAAAATGCTATGAATATACCAGATAGGGATATTGTGTACAGTAATTCACAAGCCATATTAGTTTTGGTATGGTAATGTTACTGATTTGAAGAAACATACTAGGATTAAATACGCTGCAGCTACCAGGTCAAAATACTGTGATACAAACATATAGTCAGCTACAAATATGGCACAAAGTGGTTCTCTTGAACATCCTGTCAGAGACTGAAAGAAAAAGATGACTAAGGAACTTCTTGTAATTTGCTATCCAAGGGAAGCATGAGAGACACCATTGTTAAAGTATTTGAAACTGGACTGGCAAAAATACAGAACAGTATAGAGAACATGCCTGTACTGAGAAAGGATGAATAGATAAATCTATTTTTTCCCCATCTCTCCTTACTTCTTCTATGAACTGGCTTTTGTGTGCCACATTTTGGCAAAAAATCCTCCAAACCAATCAGCTCCCTTTCACGTGTGGGACTTCTGTGTGAGAATGTAGTGATTTTACATCTCTACAGGATAAACTAGAAGTTTAAGCCGTTTGGACTGAAATCAGTACTGTCATAAGTAAGATTTGGATTTCATTTAAAATATATGCACCAAGTACATTTAACCATCTTCAGGCACTGGTCTTGAACTGCTGCAGAGTGGAAAACAAAAATGGAACAATGCACCCCTCCCCTTTCCTATAATTCTAGAAAATCATCTAACTAATTGCTGTTATCACCTCAATTAGAGATACCTGGAATGACTAAAAATTTAAAGTGCTCATATTTTAGCTCATTTCCTTGTAGAATCAAGACTGTTTCTATGGGTGGGAGGACAATATGGCAAATGGTTTTGGAGAAAGGGGGGGGGGGGAGATAGAGCAACTAGTTCCCTGCCAGTATTGAACATTCCCCTGATCAAACACATCCAATGGAAATGCTGTTAGTCCACGGAAATTCTAGTTGCTGCTACCCATCTACTGGTAGCATAAAGAACAACTGACACAAATCTGCTCTCAGAAGCAATCCTCCACATCAAATACAAACAGGTAATGCTGCCCCACAAGAAGAGTAATTTTAAGAAAGTCAGTGAAAATAGATTTTCAGAGTGTGAAATTATTGCAGAACATGTAAAGACAAATAATAAGACAAATCTGCCTTTCAGTCTGATTGGAACTGTTTCCCACATCATGGTGTAGATAGGAGAAATTCAGAAAAGAGGTGGTTTGGCCAATGATGGCTAGGAGATACAAAGTAGAATGGAGTATGTGCATATGTTGTGAGTAAATAAATCCCAGATCTCAAATTAAAGCTCTTTTATACATAGTCATGCTAGAAGCCCTAGTTTTCATATTTTTGCTCTTAAACATAATGAAGTGGATTCTTAAGGTGTCTAAGCCCTTTTCAGACGCACAGAGGAACACTCCCCCCAAGTAAGATCTGCACTTCTTATGATCTTGAGCTATACAAACTCTAAGCAAATACGAGCTGCAAGGGAAGCCTGGTATACCTTATCCTATTTGTGTAAGATTCTTGAGGGAGTAAATAGATATTAATCAGAGAAGCAATACCATCTTTGCTGCTTTGCAAAACCTTTTGTTAACCCAGACTCTTAGTTCTTAGCACTGCAAAAAATACATTTGCATTTCATTGGACAATACAAGGAAAAAGTTCTTTACTGTGAGGGTGGTGAGGCACTGGAATGAGTTGCCCAAAGAAGTGGTAAACACTCCATCCCTGGCAGTGTTCAAGGTCAGGCTGGAAGGAGCCTTGGGCAACATGCTCTAGTGTGAGGCGTCCCTGCCCATGGCAGGGGGGTTGGAACGAGATGATCTGAAGGTTGTTTCCAACTGTTCTATGATTCTATGATTTACCTTATATCACTAAAAGCTTTACAGTCCAAATGTGATTTCTCCCATGCGTCTTCAGCTAGCTTCATCCTGGAGTCCTATCCTGGTTGCTGAGATGGATTAAGATTAAGAAATAAGAGGCACTGAAAAAATCATGAATTATCACTTTTCTCTATTCCACAAAAGCTGCTAAATTAGACAGTAGGAAAGGAGAAAGAGCACAGGAGAACCAAGTATGGAAAAATGCAAACCTAGCCAACTTCCTTAACCTTTGAAGATCATGCCTCAGGAAACCCAAGAAAACTACAGCTATACGTACTCAAGCATCCCAGATTCCAGAGTCAGCTTGTCTTCTTAATGACACAGTTTCTTAAACTATAAAGATTAATTTTCTTTTTTCTCTGCAGAAGGACAAATTCTTTTCAATGTGTTTTGTTTTCTAAAGCCTTAAGCACACACATCATACAATTACTGACC